AAAAAAAAAAAAAAAAAGAGAGCTCTCAGCACTTGTGGGGATAAGTCCTTCATTCCTGCAGCGGGATCTAGGGGGTGCCTCACAGCATCAACCACAGAGCTGTTATCATTTCCCAGGGAAATTGACTGCTATCAATCCTTCTGTGTAGGCTATATAATTCCCTTGCTGGCAGCAACACTTCTATCAGGTTAAACTAAGAGGAACACTTAATGTTAATGGATGCAAGTACAGAACTGATGTGTACTGATGTTCACACTCTGCTATGGGGTGCTTCCAGGGTCACATGGAACTCTTGCCAGGCATTGGTTATATCTTAGCTTAAGGTTGACAGCAAATTCGCTCTCTAGAATGAGCATGCTTTACTCAAGGATTTAGGAGCATGCTTGGAACTCTGAACTTATTCCCACCTTCTCTGAAATAGCTGACATTTATCAAGTTCTTATCAAAGGCCAGGTACTGTTCTAATACAAACAATGTTATAATTGCAAGAAGAGCTAACATTTACATGGCACTGGTTGTGTGCCAAAAACTGTTCCAAGCACTTCAGATATATTAACTCATTTAAATCTTAGGTATTATAATTATACAGATGAATAAGGTCAAATGCTAGGATCTGGCAGTGTTGGGTTCCAAACCCAGGCAGTCTGGCTTCTGAGCTCGCACTCCTACCTGCTATGTTACTGCTTCCAGTAGTGAGATGTTAGTATAATAACCCTGTCTTAGGTTTCCAAAGCAACCATACCTATGATAGAAGTCATAGGTACAGAGCTATAGGTACTGACTATTTTTAAGGAAGATAATTGAGGAATCATAGACTAAACACTTGGTCTAGCTTTGTTAGTCTTTGAAAACAGCTTTTCTATATTTCTCATGGCCTGGGTGTTTCTGATTCATCCACTCTCAGCCCAGTACTTCCAGATAAACTCTGTGTGCCTCTTAGACACTGGATGTGCAGAGTTGACCCCCTCTCAGCTGCCCTAATGTATGACTGATACAGCAGCCCAGTTATCCTTTGGATCTAAACGTTCTCTTTCTCTTTCACTGCGGCCCTTCCTTCCCTGATGGATGCTGAGATCCTCTTCAGTCTTACTGTTCACTGTATTCAGAACCACGTAGACTCTCTTGTGGGAAATAGAAAAACCATCCTTTCATGAGTCAGGAAACATTTTCTATAAAAGTGGTGGATAGCAAGTATTTTAGGCTTTGCAGTCTCTGTCACAACTACTCACCACTGCTGTTGTAGCATGAAAACAGCCATAGACAGTATGCAAATGAGTGGGCATGGCTGTGTTCCTTTATTTACGAAAACAGGAGGCAGGCCAGATTTGGCCCGTGGACTGTAGTTTGCCGACTCCTGCTTTATACCATTACCCAGGACTTCGGTTAACAGACCCATTTAAAAAAAAATCACATTTTAAAGCATCCACAATGAAGGGGAAGGGCCGTTCTTCACATATCCATGATTACAAGATCAGAGAATCCTCATTCTGCTGGCAGTATGATAAAATTCTTGAGTTTTTAAAATGCTTCAACCCTTCTTTATCATACAGTAAAAAGCTATGAAACAGCTGTTATAAATGGGCTGTTGATGGCACAGTTTAGTTTGATTCCAGAAAGCACCTAAAAAGATGGAGAGAGAGATGGCTTTTTCCTTGGAATTCAACCTGAGTCACTGGGGCCTGATCCATGAGATGAAGAGGTCCGAGTAGATGGTTTCTCGAATACTTTTCTGTGGTAACGGTCTATGATGCTGTGTTTAACGTGCAGAATCATCATAGTTTTCCTTCGTAGACATGCCAGTGATAACTACACCTGTGTGAAGACAACACATGATGAGATGATGGCCATTTACTTCACCAGTGGAACAAGTGGACCTCCTAAAATGACCGGACACACCCACAGCAGGTTTGGCTTAGGATTATCTGTAAACGGAAGGTACTTTCACAGAACAGCAGCTTGAAGTGTCAAAACTGCCAAGGTGATGATCCATTTATGGGTCTTTTAAATTTGTTTTCCTGTATATTTCAGGGCTATTCTTTGTTTTCCCAGGTTCTGGCTGGATTTGACACATTCAGATGTGATGTGGAATATCTCAGACACAGGTTGCGCAAAGTCTGCATGGAGTAGTGTTTTTTTCTCCATGGATCCAGGGAGCATGTGTATTTGCACATTATCTGCTGGGTTTTGAGCCAACTTCCATCTTGGAAGTAAGGCAGAGCACAAGAGATCAACATTTAGAAATGCATTAGCAGTGTCACTGACAGGACTGGTGAATAAAGTAACTTGCACAAGTCAGCATAGACAACATGATTTAAGATATGTCACATCCAGAAAGTCAATTATCCTGAAAAGATACACAGAGGAAAGGTGTGAGTGCATTTATGTTAGAATAAACAAGGTTTAAGTGATGCTGTGCCTACCATAGACGTTTAGGTACTTGTTCAAGTTGTCATAAGACTGAGAGTTTACCTCTAAATTGCAGACACTTTCTAAGTTTCCCATCACAGTCTTCTGTTCATCGCCAACTGCATACCCAATGCTTGTACAGAGTGATATGAACAGGTAAGAAAGCTTGGTAGATAGGCACCTAGTGGGGGAGGGGAGAGGAAGAGGAAGCTATAAAGTAAAAGGTCTTTCTGCCTAAAACGTAGCTCCAAACTAGTAGGTATGGGATTAAACAATCTCTCCTCCTCTTTCTCCTTCTTGCTTACATTCTGTAAATGATAACCACTACATCCAGGGCAGGCTCCCCCAAGCAAAGAGAGGAAAGGGAGGGTTCAGCCCTGTGTGTACCTCTGAGCCCAGTGGTTTTGGGTAAGAAAGTGTTTAATCTTTTGGATGATGACTATTACCTGAGCTGAGAAAGTAGAGAAATTGCCCCTATTTGGAACCTATCCCAGCAAATAGGAAAAAGGATGAATGTCTTTTGTTCTATTACTGGTTCCATTTGAAAGGGTGGATTGGTAAATATTTTTAAATTGATTTTTTAAAATTTTTGAATAGGAGGTAGTTCATATGATATAAATTTCAATAGCTATATAAGAATATATAGTGAAAAGTCTTCCTCCAAACCTTTCCTCAGTCTCTATTCTCCCTCTCCCTGAAATCTACGCACACAAAAGCCAATATGCTTATATTCTCCCCTGCTCTCTTATAAACATAAATGGAAATACTATATGCTGTGTTTCCTTCATCCTCAGATGAAGAACTGTGTGTTCTTCATCTTCCTTTTTTTGCCTAAATATACACCCTGGAACTGTGCTGTCCCATATGGTAACAACTAGCCACATGCAGTTATTTAAATTTAAGTTTTAATTAAAGTTAAAATTCAGTTCCTCAGTGGCAGTAGCCATGTTTCAAGTGCTCAATAGCCACACAGGACTATAAGATATTGTAGTGGGTAGTGCAGATTATAGAACACTTCTGTTGTTGCAGAAAGTTCTGTTGGACAGCAGGGTCCAGGAGCTTCCTCATTCTTTTTTATAGCTGTATAGTATTCCATTTCATGAATATTCCATAGTTTATCCAGACAATTGGTAAACTTTTAATTGCTGATTTAAAATGTTATTATGTGATAACTTCCCTAAGGATGGCATGGCTGTATTTTGCAACAAGTCATGCTCCCCACCCCTCCAAGAAAACTAAAGTCAGAAAAGAAAAAGAAAAACTGGTGTTTGGGGAGTCATTTTATGATGTTAGAATGATTCATTTGGGCCGGCCCCGTGGCTTAGTGATTGGGTGCACGCGCTCCGCTGCTGGCGGCCTGGGTTCTGATCCTGGGTGCGCACCGACGCACCGCTTCTCCGGCCGTGCTGAGGCCGCGTCCCACGTACAGCAACTAGAAGGATGTGCAGCTATGACCTACAACTATCTACTGGAGCTTTGAGGGGGAAAAATAAATAAAATAAAATCTAAAAAAAAAAAAGAATGATTCATTTATTTTGTGTTGGAGAGGGGAGTAAGGAAGAAACTACAACACATTTTATATTGAAATTTCATTAGCAATCATCCTAACTTCCATTTCTCTCCATTTTTCCCCCTAAATTTAACATGTTATCTGTTTCTGAGAAGCTATAAGTTCAAAAGCTTAAAGCACTGTGTGAGTGGCGGGGAACCAATCAACTCTAAGTGACTGAACAATGGAGAAACAGGACAGGTCTGGATATCTACGAAGGATATGGACAGACTGAAACGGTACATGGACCTCACTGAACAGACAGGGCTGGACTCGATTTAGTTGGATGAATAAAACCAAAGTGTTTATTATGACCTTATGATTGTTTGAGGGATAGGGAGGAAGTGGAGTGGTTAGAAGAATAATTTAAAAAAAAGATGGAGGGAAGCTGATTACAAAAAAGCTCTGTAACAGTTGTTTAAAGTTGTTTAAATACCCATTCATTGAGGAAAACCACTATATAACTGATTGGGATGAGGGCACTAAAATATATTTTAAGTGAAAACATGCTAGATCTACAGAAAGAGAGATTTCCCCTTCTGTAATAGGGAACTTTCTTAGGGCTGCCTCAAAAATGGAAAATGTTGAATTCTTTGTTACTTGAAATATTATGAATTTGCTGGACAACTCTTTGGTAAGCATACTCTTAAAAGAGTTATTTAAAGAGCTCATAGAAATAAGAAGAATTTCTGGAGGTAATGAATGAAATAATAACAAAAGTGGTTATTTTGTAAGGAAAGAGAGGGGTGAGATGGAGCAGATAAGGGAAAAGTGAAAGAAATTTTTCGTGGTGTGTCTTTTTGTAATGCTTCAATTTATAAACCATGAGAATGTAGCACCTGGTCAAAAATTAAAATATGAAAAATAAAATAAAACCAAAAATGGACATACGTATTAAGTAGAAATTGCATATCATGCCAATATGAATAAAAATGTTTTCATAAATATGGTATTTTAGTAATTATAAATTTACTAAGTATTATAAATATTTGCTTAGTGTCTATCTCTACACTCCATGAGAGCAGAGAATTTGTTTTACTTTGAGCCTGGTTCATAGTAAGTTCTCAGTAAATATTTGTTGAATGAATGCAGAGTGATGAATGAATGAATTTTAAGTTACTTGTAATGTTACTCCACTCTTTCTTCTTCTTAACTAGGTGCTAATCTGTGGAAATTTTAAGGGAATGAAAATGAAGCCTGGCTCAATGGGAAAGCCTTCTCCTGCTTTTGATGTTAAGGTTTGCACATTCCCTTCCAGGAGAATATTTAACATCCCAATCTGTTTACCTACCCCACTTCTACCCTCCCTATACTCTTAGTTTTGGTGATGATTTCATGTTACTTCCATAGTATCTTAACTTCCATGTAAAGATGGAAATATGTTAGAAACGTTAGTTTATTGGTCTCCATTTTTTTGCAAAGCAGTTGCTTGTGCAAAGCAGTTCTAAGCATTTTACAAATATTAATCCATTTAATTCCCAGATGGAACCTATGAGATACATAGTAATATAAGAACCATTTCACAGATGAGGCACAGAGAGGTAAGGATTTCACCAGAGGTCACACAGCTAGAAGCTTCTAGCATTAGGATTCAATCCCAAGCAATCTGGTTCCAGTATCCCCACTCTTAACCACAACACCACCCTGCCGCTTCTGTTGAGGGAGGTCAAGACCTCCTGAAGTGGTCAAGTAGGCCAAAAGAGGCTAAGCGTACAGTGGCTGCAGCATTCTCCCTCTCTTTCCTCAGCCTCACCTGGCCATTTCCTGGCTCTCCATAACCACTGCCATTACCACCACCTGATCCCTAGGGGGGCATCCTATCATCCCATCTGCAAGCTTTGTACAGGGTTAGAATTGTTCTCAGATCAACCCAGCCAGAGCTAGGTATAAACAAAGGAACTTGCACTAACAGTGAGAGAAAACCATAGCAACAAAAACACAAAATGGATGAGTTTACGGAACGAAGAGCTCAGAACCAAACTTAAATGAGAGTTAGTTGTAGATTAGATCAATGTTTCCCAAGCTTATCTGATCATAAAAATCACATGGCCTCTTGTTAAAAATACTGACTCGCAGCCCCTTCTCTAGAGAGTCTGATTCAACAGATTTGGGGTGGGACCCTGAAATCTATGTTTTAGACAAGCACTTTAGGTAATTCTTATGATTAGATAAGTTTGAGAAAGTTTAGATGAGAATGACTGCTGATGTCACTGTTTATTGAATAAACCAGATCTGGGCTCTTGTCCTAACTTTAACTTTGCTATGAGAACCTGTCTAAAGAGAGGATTGCCGAGTGGTTCAGGCCCGGCTCTGCTCTTCACTAGCTGAGTGTCTTTGGGTAAGTTGTTGAAGCCTCAGTTTCCTGATTTGTAAAATGGGGGCTAGGGTGACCAACTTTCCCCAGTTTGCCTGGGACTTACCTGGTTTTAGCACTGAAAGTCACACATCCCAGAGGCACTCTCCTGCCTCAGTCCTGGACAAACTGAGAAGGTTGGTAATCCTAACAACAGAACTGATTTTATAGGTTTCTTGTGAGGATTAAATGAGATAACATCTCTAAAGAGCATAGCAAAGTGCTTGGTGTACAATAAAAGTCTGAAAGATAGGTGCCGTTATTATTATTCACCTCTCCCTCTCACTCTCTGCCTTTGAAAACCTGTTCTAAGAAGAGATGGTAGGGAAGCCCTGGTTACAGTCTGTTAATAGACTTAACAATAGTTCACTGGTTTACAGGCTGCCTTAGGTTGGAGACAGATATATTGATAATTAAGCATTATCATGTCTGCATTACAAGCAATCAAGTTGGCCTTTCACACAGCTGTGTTCCTTTCTTCCCTCTTAGTGACAGCTCCCAACATGCATTGCTGTGACGGTCTCACAGGTGCAGCTGTACTCACAGTGATCCCAACCGCGATGTACCACCGGTTCCCTGCTAATTCGAGCCCAGTGGTTTTCCAGAGCAATTATAATTCAATGCGAAGGGGTGTGGCCAAGAGGAAAACAGTGCTGTGCCATACATCCCCAATCAGCATCACTACCTTCATTTCTTTTCCCAATTTTTTTATTGTGGTAAAATACACATAACATAAAATTTACCATCTTGACAACTTTCTTTTTGCCGAGGAAGATTTGCCCTGAGCTAACATCTGTTGCCAATCTTCCTCTTTTTTGCTTGAGGAAGATTCGCCCTGAGCTAAGATCTGTGTCAATCTTCCTCTATTTTGTATTTTGTGGGTCACCACCACAGCATGGCTGCCAATGAGTGTTGTAGGTTCTGCGTCTGGGAACCAAACCCTGGCCACTGAAGTGGAGCACGCTGAACTTAACCACTAGGCCGTGGGGCCGGCCCCCCAT